GGGGGGGGCGGGGATTAGGAAACAAAACAAACCACACCCCAGGTTTTGTTAACTGCTGTTGCATAACAAATCACCTTAAACTTTGGTGACATAAAAGGAGGATTTAGTCTTCCCCATGGAAACCGTGGGAATTCCATGATGCTGTGGGAAGGGGGGAGGATTCTCCCAAACCCGCGCGGGCAGGTGGGCCTGGCTGTGGGCTGGCGGGCTTGGACCACCCGCATTGCCTCTCAGCCTCCAGTAGGCGGGGCCAGCTCCCGAGAGCACGCTTTCGGGGCTGCATTCCAAGGACCCAAAAGTGCAAGCTGCAAGTGTTCTTGTGGCCCGGCCCTGGTACCTGCCCGGTGTTCGTTCTGCCACATCCTCGGGTCAAACCTGTGTTTAAGGTGTGGGGAAATCAACACCTCTTTTTTTAATATTTATTTGAGAGAGAGAGAGAGAGAGCGCACATCCAAAAGCACACACACAAGTGGGGGAGGGGCAAAGACAGAGGCGGAGATCCCAAACAGGGTCAGCGCGTTGTCAGCGAACAGCCTGGCGAGGGGCTCGGTCTCACGAAGCATGAGACGGTGACCTGAACCGAAATCGAGAGACTTAACCGACTGAACCACCCAGGCGCCCCCAACAGCACCTCTTAATGGAAATATCCAAGAATTGGTGACCTTATTTCATTTACCATACACTTCCAACAAGCACACACAACCTATTCCTCCACCAGCCACACCCTATACTTCCTGTAATTTATAGCCACAAACAGTGGCGCCTGGGTGGCTCGGTCAGTTAAGCATCTGACTTGGGCACAGGTCAGGATCTCACAGTTGGGCTCTGTGCTGACAGCTCAGAGCCTGGAACCTGCTTTGGATTGTGTCTCCCTCCCTCTCTGCTCCTTCCGGCTGGTGCTCTATCTCTCAAAAACAAATAAACGTTAAAAAAATTTTTTTTAAAATTTATATCCATGAATAAATGCATATTCCCTCACTATTCACCTTTCATGTACTGTCTTCCTCCAGTCCTCTGCATTCCTGAGCCACCTAACACATGTATTAGTTACTTTTAAAAGTGTTATCATGCTGTTGTTAGTTAGAAAGTAGCATACCATAGGTTCATAGTGAAATACATACTTTCAAACTGTATTTCATTCACTAAACAGATCCCTACTGCATGCTCACAATGGTTAGCACTTTACAGTGCAGTGTGGTAAGGGGTGCAGTGTTCTAGACAAGCACTTACAGAGTCTAGCTCAAATCTGGAGTCTGGCAATAACCCTTGGAGGAAGTGATGTCAGAGCAGATAGATGATGAGAAAGAATTAGGCAGACCAAGAAGACGAGGAAAAATATTGTGGTCGCAGAAAATGGGATGGACTGTCTGAAGAGCACAAATCATTTCAATGAGGCTGGACCTTTGAGAAGTGAGTGGAGTGAACAGGAGCAGGGCGCTAGGAGGCAGTAGAGGGGTAAGGACCTTAATAAAGGATAGATAAAAAGAGTGAACTTTCTCCTGAGAAGACCAGAAGGGATGGTTAGCGCTTTTAAAGACTGCAGTGCCGTGGTCCAGGTCTCCTGTTAGAAAGATCACTCTGCCTAAGAAAGAAAGCCATTGGAAGCTTTCAGTTTTCTCTTTAGATAGGCCACTGTCCGGGAGTTACGAAGGATATTATTTTAAAATATGCTAATAGGCCATTGAAAGATTTTTAAGGAAAAGAATGACGGAATTTGATGACTATTTTAGGGGTATGATGTTCTGGAGGAAGTTTCAGGACATAAAAAGACGAGGCACTGAGGAGGTGGAGAAGGTTTGGGAGGGAGGGACGCGTGGGCGTCAGGAGCCCCGTGTGCGTCACTGGGAGGCAGGATGAAAACCAGTCCCCAAAACTGGACAGGCTCCCGGAGACGCTGGCCTCAGGCTCACCCAGGACGCCGCAGTTCCCGTTGTCCACCACAGCTCAGATTGAGGCCCCAGAGGGAGGCAGGTGCTCTCTGGCCACAGGACAGAGTCCCCTCCAGACCCTTCCCCAACAGTTGGAACAACACTCACAAAATGTCCCCCAAGTTCTATCCCGATTGAGATTTGTTTCAGGAAAAACTCAAGATCACTGGGGATATTTCCCCTCAATCCAAAGAGACCTGACTCTCCCACCGTGTGAGGAGACCAGCAGGGCCCCTCCGTGGGCTGGACTCTTCTCTCCCGGACAGAAGAGGGGCAGGGGTGGAGCAGAACTGCAAACCCAGTCTGGGGACGCAGGAGCTGAGGGGTGACAAAGAAAGGAAGTGCTAGGTGGAGCTGGGGGCTGAGGCAGAGAGAGGGTCATGAAGAGCACCAAAACAGAGCAGCTCTGGGTATTACAAGCAGAGATGTTTAATGGAAGAAACTTGCCATGAGATGTTTAAAAGCAGGAAGAGAAAAACGGAGAAGAAGGTTAGCTAGAGGGCAGAAGGGGTGAAAGAGAAGAGAGACTGAGGATATGGAGGGAGCCTCAGACCTCAGGGCACCTGCTGCTGCTCTTAGGCTCTGGGCCTCCCTGGGGCCCAAAGCAGGAAGGGAGTGAGTCCCCCCTGCGGCCCCCACCCCCACCCCCCCGGGGGCCTCAGTGGCCAGAGGGACATGGAAGAGAGAGATGCCAGGGGCAGCGGGTTGCAGAGATGGAGGTGTGGTTCCCCAGCTCCTCCAGGGCTTCAGGCGCAGAGAAAACAACCGGTAAATGACCTGTACCTGCCCACTTCCTCGGACTTGTATTTTTGTGGTCCAACAAAATATTTTTTTAAATTTATTTTATGTTTTATTTTTTAAGGTTTACATCCAAATTAGCATATAGTGAAACAATGATTTCAGGAGTAGATTCCTGAGGGCCCCTGACCCATTTAGCCCATCCCCCCTCCCTCAACCCCTCCAGGAACCCTCAGTTTGTTCTCCATATTTATGAGTTTCATCTGTTTTGCCCCCTCCCTGTTTTTATATTATTTTTGTCTCCCTTCCCTTGTGTTCATCTGTTCTGTGTCTTAAAGTCCTCATATGAGTGAAGGCATGTGATTTTTGTCTTTCTCTGACTAATTTCACTTAGCATAATACCCTCCAGTTCCATCCACGTAGTTGTAAATGGCAAGATTTCATTCTTTTTGATTGCTGAGTAATACTCCATTGTATATATATATATACCACATCTTCTTTATCCATTAATCCATCTATGGACATTCAGGCTCTTTCCATACTTTGGCTATTGTTGATAGTGCTGCTCTAAACATGGGGGTGCATGTGTCCCTTCAAAGCACACCTGTATGGATAAATGCCTAGTAGTGCAACTGCTGGGTCGTAGGGTAGTTCTATTTTTAGTTTTTTGAGGAACCTCCGTACTGTTTTCCAGAGTTGTCCAACACTATTTATGGCCATTTAGATGTATCAATTTTAAGTTTAGTGGCTTTCAGTGCATTCACATTTCCTATGCAACCATCACCCCGTGTCCTGGGTGAGCCATCTTCGCAAACTGAAGCTCTGTACCCTCCACTCTCCCCTCCCCAGCCCTTGAAAATCACCATTACACTTTCTTTAAGGATTTTTTAAGCCCCATCAGGCATTAATTGTGCCATAAGTTTGCCACTTCCTTTATCATTTCATTTATTGAGGTTTGCTGGTGATAAGCCCTCTTCTTTTTTAAAAAATTTATTTTTAACTTTTATTCTAAAAATTTTCAACCACATATAAAAGTAGAATTGTAGGGGTGCCTGGGTGGCTCAGTCGGTTGAGCGTCCGACTTCGGCTCAGGTCATGATCTCACGGTTTGTGGGTTCGAGCCCTGCATTAGGCTCTGTGCTGACGGCTCAGATCCTGGAGCCTGCTTCAGATTCTGTGTCTCCCTCTCTCTCTGCCCCCGCCCCCCACTCACACTCTGTCTCTCTCTTCTTCAAAAATAAATAAACATTAACAAAATTTTTTTAAAAAGTAGAATTGTATGATGAAATGAATCTGAATGGCTCATTATTCAGTTTCAACAATTATCCAGTATTTTGCAAATTATTTTTATTATTTTAATCCAAGTTAACATATAGTATAATAATGATTTCAGGAATAGAATTTAGCAATTCATCACTTATGTAGAACACTCAGTGCCCATCCCAACAAGTGCCCTCCTTAATGCCCATCCCCCCAAACCCTCTTTTTGTTGACCTAAAAATTAAAAATGTTTTTGTTTTATCTTCATCCTTATACATGTTTTCATTCAGTATAGAATTTTGGGTTTTCAATTCTTTTGTTTGAATGCATTAATGAAGTCCTTGTATATTCTTTTGGTTTCTATCTTTGCTAATGAGAAGTTAGCTATCAAATTAACTACAGCTGCTTTGACGGTAATTCATTCTCTCTGTCTCTGTCGGTCTCTCTCTCCCTTCCTTCCTCCCTCCATGTTTTTAAAATATTTTCATTGATTTTGATTATCTGCAGTTTTACTGTGGTGTGTTTAGGTATGACTTTCTTTTTATTTGTCTTTCTCGGAGTTCATTAGGCTTCTTGAATTTGTATTTTGGTATGGTTAACATTTCTGGAGAATTCGCAGGCATAACCCTTTCAAATAGAGCCTCTGCCAGTGCCCTCTCTCCTTCTGGAAGCTTCTTACTCTTCCCTGAAGTTCTCTCACCCTCTCCTCCTAGTTTCTATCTTTCTCTCTCTTATTCTGTGTAATACCTTCTGCCCTATCTTTCAGGTATGTCATTTTCTGTGTTCAACCTGCTTTAAATACCATTTTACTGAAACATTAATTTGTTTTTTTTCCATGTAAAAAGGTTTATTTGTTTTTGTTGTTGTTGTTGCCGTTGCTTTTACAAATTTGTTATTTCACTTGTTATAGTTTCCTATTTCCTGAGGATATTTTTCAGTCTCATATTTTTGAAACATAGTTATCATTAAAAATAATCTGCTGCTGGACACCTGGCTGGCTCAGTCAGTAGAGCACGTGACTCTTGATCTCAGGATTGTGAGTTCGAGCCCCATGTTGGGCATGGAGCCTACTTAATAAAAAAAAAAAAAAAAATCTGTTGCTAATAATTCTAGCATTTGAAATCTTTGGAGGTTAGTTTATGCCAGTTTTTCTGTTAGTTCCTGTTTATTGCACCTTATTTCCTTGTTGTACTCATTTCTTTAATTTTGTCCTACTTTCTTCCCTTGAACATTTATCTGTGAGATTTTCCAGAGACCCAGGATGAACATTTCTTCAAGCAGAGAGAGGTTGTGCATTTGCAACTCCAAGCACCTGGGTACTAGGAACTGTAACCATTTAAAAGTAAACATGTCTCATAGCCAAAGTATGGAAAGAGCCCAAATGTCCATTGATGGGTGGATGAATGGATGA